TTTTCCCCAAATAAGAGGTAATATGAGTATGTCAGAAACTTTCTGGTAACTAAGTAATGGAGGCTGATCTGAAAAGAAAAGCTCTGCCAATACACGCCTTGCTTCCAGCAGCATTTCTGTTTCTCTCGTTTCTCCCAAGTCAGACAGCTAAACTCAAAACCCATTGAATGTCATATTTCATGTACTGTCATACAGCTCATTTCAAAAGACTTAAAACACAACAAAGTTCCTTGGGCAGAAATTCTTTGGAAAGCTAAAGTGGATTCTTCTGATCACAAGATCACAGCCACAAGCATTTGAGATAGCTGCCTAGAGTTCTTCCTAGTATAGGAATAGAAATGGGCATTTCTGGGGAGAAATCTAAGATATTATTCATCTGACCTATATTATGTCCCCATCTTTCACAAATAACTTCAAAACGAGCTTAGGAAAACCGGTTAATAGGTAAATCTTAAGCAACACATAGATGAAACCCACATTTGGTGTTCCACCTATGCTTCTATTTCTAAGTTGTCTGAACAAGCTTTTGTCCTGTTGAGCAAAGATTTTGACAACAAACCTTCACTAAAAGTGTTTGTATGTAGAATACATATAGGTATGTACAGTGACTTGAACTGTATTTACAGTATTTCTCTGAAAAGAAACTGCTCCTAAAAAGTAGGCATTTTTAATTTGTTTACCCCTAAATCTCTCATGGGTTTATTTTAGTGCCATTACTTTCAAATGGTATTTGTTTTAAATTTTATAGAAAACACATTCCAATACTGCTGTATTCAAAAACTACTTTTTAAGATTAGCCTTCAGATTTCCAACTAATGCAGCATTCAGGACTCTTCTAAAAATGTAAATGCCTACATATGGTGCTATATTCAGATGAACAGTGCTAAACCAATACAATTCTGATACTAGAGCATAAGATATTAAAATATCAGGAAAGCATAACATTTCTAAAGTAACATTCACCCTTCTTCAGACAAAATATGGAATAGTTTAAATTTCACAGTAAGAACCAGAAAAAAACCCACAAATGTGTTCAAACGGATGCACCAGAAAAGTTAAAAAAAAAGTTTAAAATATCTGAACCAATACATATGGCTTAGAGATTCTCCATTCAACTCCATTCAGCTACTCTGTCATAGTCATGATTAAAAAGTTCAATGACATGAGGTTTTTGAGGAATGGCTATTGTTACCTGCTCAGAAAATTAAAAGGCAAATTAAACCATTTCAAAAATAAGATTAGAAGTCAAGCAATCTAAACTGTAGAGATAATTTGTGATTACAGTATGTAGTTTTTTCCCCTATTTTCATTGCAAATAAAAGAAGTCTCGATGACTCATTCACTGAGTGCCTTTAAGTGTTTTCAGACAATTTCATTACATTAACAGTGCTAAAGTATTTCTTCAATGTTTTATTAGTTTTGAATTTTGCACCTTGTCTTTGAGTTCCTCCACCCAAGAATCTCACTAGAAAAGAAAAAACAAACTTTCTAGCAAATTTATCACAATACAGCTACAAAAGAGTAAAAAAGTTTGTAATTTAACATCTTTGTTATTTGAGGAGTGTGAGTATATAACTTAGTTGCAATCACTTTTTATTTAATTTCATTTTTGTGAATGAGAAGAAAAATTATGCTTTGAGGTCTTTACAGAACATAAAATATTCTCTCACTTTTATATGCATGTTCATGTCATATAATTTGTAACTTACTCTGTACAGTTTCCAAGGTGGATGCCACTGGGGTTTGGGCATGGTTGGAGCCTTCTTTGGCATTAATGCAGAATTTTTGTTTCCACCAGCTTCCACCATAGCCTGTAAGTTAAAAGGAAGGTTACTCTTATGTTTTGTAGTTTACCTCTTTGCCCAAAACCTAAAGCCTTCTCACTCTGATCTCCACACAACAGGAAAATGGATTCAGAAGCACTCTGGTCAACACCATGTACTTTTCACATTAGATGTGCAACAGACTCACCACGGACATCCCAGGAGGCTGTGAACGCTCGGATATTCCAGCATGCCTGTAAACATCACCCACACCAGCAGCTGTCCGATTTGCATCCAACCTAGGTTGAATGAAAATGGTTGATGAATTGCAATCAACTTTCTCCTACTGAGTGATAAAGTATCACAGGGCTGCATGCAGTTGAGTGTTGTACACCTCTAAGGATGGAGAGTCCACAACCTCTCCTGGCAACCTACCCAGGGCCTGACCACCTCAAGGTACAGGACATCCACAAAGCTTCACATTTTTTTCTTCTACCTAAAAAGAATTTCCCTTGTCCCAACTTCTTCCCATTGCCTTTCCTGACATACAAAAAAAAGCATACAGAAAAGCGATGCCTGGCCACACTAAAAGCAGTTTCTTTAAACTTTTTATAATTAGAATATTTTAATTACTCAAAGTAGCTCTTATCCCAGCTTCTGTGATTTGCCTTGAAATTCCCACAGACAACAACAAGTGTAATGAGGTAACACAGCAGTACCTGGACTGAGAAGCAGGAAGTGCTACAGCCAAGGACTGCGCTGCAGATTCACTAGGCATCCTCTGGACCTTAGTATCTGCTGTCAAAGCCACACCTTGAAGAGAAATAACATGTCAAAGACAACTCCATTAAACAGAAACTCTCCAAAAGTGTACTATACAAACATATATATATACATATATACTGCAAACAAGGGCCTGATACAAGCCTGTAATATTAAACCTCATCCTTCAATGACATTTTCACATGCAAGTCAAATCTACTGCGATCTTTATTTTGGCCCAGATCCTCTCCACCTTCTACTAAATATATAAGTAAACAATTTCTAGAGTAGGAAACAATGTTTCTGGTGTTGGAAACAAAAAGAGTCTTACTAGGAGCAGCATCCATTTTTTTACCCAGCTTCAACTGCTATGGAAATCCAAACATCACAGAAACAAACATGATCCTGAGAAGAATTTGCTAACTTAGGCCCTTTTGTACACTTTATTATGCCATCCCTATGTGGTGGTTGGCATCATACAGTGGTGCCAGAACTACAAGAGGTTTAGTCCCAATGAGAATTTCAGACTACATCTTAGGATTTATAACCTTATCTCAAGAACAGCAGATCATTTTTATTAAAAAATTTGAAAACTCTTTGCAAAGTATAGTTTTGGTGCACACTAGTGAATTTAACTCATTGCTTTATTTCTATTCCTAAGCTAACTTCTGCCAGTTGATGACAAAAACAATATTTGGGCAAGCTACTCAGATTAAAACAAGAAAAAGCAAAAAAAGAAATCTGATTTTTAACCCTAACATATGATTCTAAGACTAAACTTGAGGAAACCCATGTGAGCAAGTCTTGATCCCACAGTTACAGGCAACCATGCATGTCTTTTAAATGGTTGAGGGTCCACTGAACACTCACATTTGTTAACTTACAAACCAAGACACAACAGATTTTCCACTGTAATTCTAATAAACTTAAGCACAATAAAAGATCAGCAGCTAAAACTAAGCTGTCACAAAAACAGAGCAGGATTCATCAGTAACAGTGACAATTAGCAATGGCCAACGTACCAACATAGGAACATAACCCTTCCAAGCACAGACAAAACCAAAGTACACTAAAGTTATTAGACCCTAATGTCTCTTCCTCAGAGCAAGGTAGGGAAATCTACACTTTTCTGCACTGGTGAAGAAAAACTTTATATATTCCATATTGTCATTCAACTGCCTTCTGGTGTGAACCACCTCCTCCTTGTTCACAACAAAATCCTAAGAGCAACTCTGACACAACAGTGGAGGCACCAGGGATCTGTGGGTCTTGGGAGAGGAGATTCCTAGAACATTTTTGTGATGATATTACCAGGGAGGTGTAACCTCATAGAAAAAAATGACCATTCAAACGATGACATCCACGAAGGCTCAGTGAGCTGCATCTGTGCCTAAATCCTCCTCCCACCTTCTATCCCAGAACATTTACCAGCCCCAAAACTCCTTGCATTATTACTATGAAAGAATGGAATAGCATTATCCACTACTATCAAGTATGGATTCGCATCAAGAGGAAGACTGCTCCTGCTAGGACGGAGGCTGTCTTGTTCATACAGGAAGCCAAAAAATCCATACAAACACTTGCAAAATTTTACTTACCAGGCCCGGGTGGGTATGGGTGTGTACCAGTTACCATATACTCAACTTCTTGCCCTAAAAAGCAACAACATGTTGTATTAATAATTACATTTTATACTGCACTGCAAATAATGCACTCAAATAGCAAACAGAGGAAAAGAGAGCAGGTCATACATAGCAGAAGAAACCAGTAACCACTTCCAGAGTACTCAGACATTTCTCATTTTCATTAATTTAATTTGTTCAGGTTACCTCCATTTTCTAAAACTCAATTGTAAAAAATAATTAATTTAAATTGTGAGAAAGGGACTCGAGAAAAATCTTCTTACTGCCTTTTGAAGCAGATATCATGGAAAAGGATTCAAGTACACAAACAGCACAGTTTCTGAAATGTAAGCTAGTCAAGACAACTGGTTGTCCGTGTTGTCAGAACTGAAAAAGGTTCTTTTCTTCTTCAAATGTTTTTCATTATCTCCCAGCATCTTTCACACTGCTTCCAAATAAAGTACTTTAGGCTAAATCTCAACTAAATATCAACTATCTCAATTAAAATGAGGCAGCATTTGGCCCCCTTTAGAAGAGAAATTTCTATATGGGATCCACCTAACACATACACATTATACATTACAAAATATAGATTAAAAAAACCTGCAGATTTGAAATAAAGAGTTTTCTGGTTTATAAATTGTATGTCTAAAAGGCTGTAAATATACTATGAAACAAAATTAAAAGAAAGAGCATGCCCTTGATCATCACGAACTTGCAAAAAAGAGAAATACATTACTCATTTTTAACACCTAAGTGCAGCACATACTTATGTTATCAAAAATCACTTTTTAGTAGTGAATCACTATAAAAAATCCACAGCACTTTGTTCTGGATCACTTACCTCCTGCGGACTCTAGCCAGAAAAATACCAATCAAACAAAGGTACTTTGATTTCCATATTTATCTGCAATGGATTAACACTGGACTGCATTCTTCAGACTTTATGTCAGTGAGACTGTTACAAAAGAAAGGGCAAATACACCACTAAGAGCAAACTAACCTTGATTTCCAGAGTACTGTTTGTGTCCATATGGATCCCCAGTGTTCGCACCTCCTTTCTCTCTCAAGTTCTCTTTGAGAGTCGGCATGTGCAACACTGAGCCGTACTCTGTACGCAGCTTCACTGCCATTTTCACTTTGTGACTGTTGGAAGAGTAAAGCATAATCCCGATCACAACCCAGTTCTGAACTGTTATTAAGTTCTGAAATATTTTACAGAGGATGTTATAAAACTTACTTCATTATTCTAATATTTTTATTCTCTCAAGACTGTTAACGCTACAGACACACCTGAATTTCTGACTTGGAAGGAGCAATCATTAACATAGTCCCAAACTTCACTGAGTGCAGCAACACTTACCTTTCTTCATCTAATGGGATGGGTTTGGCATTATCAGCTACAAACATATCATGGGTTCTCTTCAAAGACCTGAACACAAGTGTGTGCACAGAATGCTTTTGGACTTCCTAAAATAAAGAAAAGAGCATTGAAATACTTTTGGACATATTTAAACAAAAAATTGAAAAGTGAAACATAAATCAAACTGAGGATCAATTTCAGAACTCAGTACTGTTAGATGGCATGCAACTGTTTAGTTCACAGAAAACACATATCTTCTTCAAAACTAAAAAATTAAGTTTATCTGTTAATTGTTTTACTTCAGTGTTTATTCAAAACAATATTCCCTTCTTGAAAACTGACAAAACTTGAAAAGCAAGCCAAATGCTTTGTTCAAACTTTTTGAACTGGTATCTACATCACAAATCCATGAGTACACAAGTTTTTTCCCCTCATCGTTTCCAGTTCTGTTTCTGTACGTAGGAAATAAAGAACCAATTCTGAAGAAAACCTCCTGTAAATTTTACTTTACTACCACCATAAAAAGAACCAGGGCAATCATCAGTTTCTGCACTCAGCGCCACTTTGTGTTAACACACCACAATCTACTCAGAGAAAACGTGGGATCAAACCTGACAAAACTTGTTTTCCTCTTATAATTTTTGTTGGCTTCTATTAGCAAAACATACTTTAGATCCCATTCAGGAAATAAAAAGCAGAATTATAAAGCTATCAACTTATATAGCATATTTGCTTATCAGCAGCACAACTCATGTTTTTATTAGTATTTTCTTTAAACTTAATTTAAAAAATCATTAGAAATCTGAGCCTGATTCCTTTGGTACAAAGCTCTGCATGACTGTATGTTCTGTATGTCAATAAAAACAATGGCAACAAACTCGAAGCTACATTAGTAGCTTCTGGCACCAAGTATCACTCAGCTGGCCAGCTTTCAAGACGCACTCTGCAGGTGCTTTCCCTGTTAAGCTCTGAAAATTGTCTCTTCACTCATCAGCCCATTTTGTAGTGTCTGTTACCCTCCTAACTCAGCAGCACCAACACCTTGCTCTTTTTGCCCTGGCTCAGAGTTCCTGCAAACTCCAGGCATTAAGTGAAAAAATCCCTAATGCTTGGAACTGGGTTAGGAATTTCATACATCCGAAGAAAGAGATAAGCATTACAGCAGCTAATTACTACTCCACAAGAGAGCTGTTGACATCACAAAACAAGTAGTAGGTAACACAGCACCTCCAAAACAGGGAAGAAGCTTCAGCAAGTATTTCTAACAGATGCTCTTCTGTAAAAAACACCTCTTAGTGTTGCATGGAGCAGCAGCCTTTGCACCTTCTTCTATAACTCTGACAACACTATGTACTTCTACAAGTGCCTGACATTCACCCCACAGTAACAACTCCATGGCCTACAAAAGCAGTGCCCTTCTCCACAGCTGTACTTCCAAACCCTCACAAAATCTGTACGGTTTTCCTGACAGGTTGACAGAACCAATAATTCTCCGGAGGTTGGGCAAAATAGCATCACTTCCCCAGAATCACAGAGTATGCTGAGTTGGAAGCGACCCACAAGGATCATCGAGTCCAACTCGTGGCCCTGCACAGGATCATCCCCAAAAGTCACACCATGTGCCTGAGAGTATCATGCAAACGCTTCAGGCTTGGTGCTGTGACCACTTCTCTGAAGACGTTGTTCCAGCACCCAATCACCCTCAGGGTGAAGACCCTTTTACTAATATCCAGCCTAAGTCTCCCCTGTCACAACTTCAGGCCTGTCACTCGGGTCCTGTCACTGGTCACCACAGAGAAGAGATCAGTGTCTGTCCCTCCTCTTCCCCTTTTGAGGAAGCTATAGACTACGATGAGGTCTCCCCTCGGTTTCCTCCAGCGGCCTGTCCCACCGAGGGGGCAGTGACGGTGGCGGGCCTGGCAGCGGTCCCCGCAGGGGCCCCACTCGCTCCGCTGACCCGGCCCCGGCCCCTGGTCTCGCCCGGGGCGCCTCAACGGCCTTCCAGCCCCTCACCTCCGCCATGGCGCTGCCGAGCCCTTCCCGTCGCCGCCTCCGCCGCCGCTATGGAGGCACTTCCGCCGCCTGCCTGCGCCGCACCGGAGGTGACGCGCGACGAGCGCCCGAGGGGCGGGACAGTGAAGAGAAGGGGCGGGGTTATGGCCGGCGCCCCGCGGTGTGCCGGGGGCTCACGGGTTCGAGTACCGCTGGCGCTGCTGCAGCGGTCGGTCCGAGTCACCTCCGTAAAGTGGATAAATATCTAAAGGCGAGGGTGCCAAGGGGATGGACCCAGGCTTTGCTCGGTGGTGCCGAGCAACAGGACAAGAGGCAACGGGCAGAAACTAATGCACAGGAAGTTCCACCTGAACACGAGGAAGAACTTCTTTACTGGGCAGGTGCCCGTGCATAGGGACAGATTGCCCAGAGAGGTCGCGGAGTCTCCTTCACTGGAGATATCCCAGTCTGGACGCAATCCTGTGTCATGTGCTCTAGGATGACCCTGCTGGAGCAGGGAGGTTGGAGCAGATGCCCCACTGTGGTGCCTTCCAGCATTCCCCACCCCGTGTCTCTGTGCCCGGGGGAGGTGCCAGGCCCGGCCCCGCTCGGGGGGACCCTCCCGGGGCAGCGCTGCGGGGCCGGGTCCGGCCGGGAGAGGGTGGTGCTCAGCTTTGGGAAAGGCGTCTGGGGCGGGTGACACGTGTGCGCCGCTTCCTCACCCTGAGGGGTTGAGTATGCCCTGGTCAGCCCGGTTTATAGAAATTCTCGGCTTTTCTTGCAATTGTGGTAGGTCGTGCAGCTACAGTTTTTAAGCATTTTTTTTTTTCCTCGTAAGTTCTCAAGGATAAAGCCACACGGTTTAGAACCGGTGCGATATGGGGTACTAGCCATTATAGCTGGTCTTTTGGGAAACGTATATGTAGTTTAGCTCCAGAGGACCTCATTTCGATGGAGACTGAGGCATGTGAACGAGCTGGCAAGCCTTGCATCTCATGGCAAAGGGTAGGTTGTGGAAGGGCAGATGTTACAGTTCTGTTCCAAATGTATCCTGATATTCCACCTGATTTTTCATTTCCCTTCATAAGGAGAATAACCAAATGCATCTGCAAATTGCAAATAGGCACCTACTTACTTCACATATACTCATTTGCTCTTAAATTCAGGAAGTCTTATCCTCTCTAGCAATACCTGTGATTTGGCAAGTGCATCTTTTGCAGTCACACCATCATGATGCTCTTCTTTACCACTACACCAGCCACTTACTCTGTCTGTCTGCATGCCTGAGCTGTGAACGGTTCACAAACTGATTTGGGCTAAAAGTAATCCAGTGGAACACCAGTTGTTTCAAACCTCTTTATTTACCACAGGACAGCATTAGTTTGGGATTCTTTCTGACACAAAAATTGCCTGCTTGACATAATGACCATGTCTTTTCTGCAGGTGACTCGTTTCTCATGGCTGCATTGGTGGTTTATATTTAGTTTTTTAAGATACAGTGATGGAAATGTGCTCCAAGTGTCTTTGACCCCCAGTTCCTGGTGTGGGTAGAGGTGGGGGAAAGGTGTCAATTACATTGTGCCACTAACAGTGCAGAGTATTGCCAGCTCAGTTTAGAGCCCAGCCATCCAGGGGTTGTGTTTAACATGACGACCTATTTTGGTAGTCACTCTGGTGATGCTGGCAATCCCTGCTGGTTTTCAAAGCCTCTAGTAAAGGTCAGCACAACATCTCAAGGAGGGGGAGCATCACCTGCCTTTGCTTAAAGTGCAACCTGGAGTGCAAACTCCACAGGGCAGTGTGTCAAAATGGGGCAAGTCTGTTATGTCCTCTTGGGCTGGTGAGGTTAGATTGAAGATACACAACATTTGAAGGGAGATTTGGGGGGTAGGGGATTTCAAAGAGGTTTGTCTTTTTTTTTTTAAGTTTACACACAGAGTAGCATGTGCCTGTTGATCAGTCAGTTGACTAGTGGATTTGATGCATGGAAATGGTTTAAAGGCTAACATCTGGCAACATACAGAGTGACATAGATGTTTCCTTTCTATTGTCTGTTGAAAGAAATCAGGCTTATTTTTACTGCCTTTTTAAGGGAAACCAAATTTGAAATACAGGCTCCGATAGCAAATTTAAAAAATCTCAATTTATATTTAGCAAGAAAACTTGACTGTGCTGTTTATAACTATTATTATTATTAGAATTCACCTGGCCCTGTATTTGCTGTAGTTGCTCTCATTTTTTTACAAGTAAACATTCACTTCGGAAATTTATTATCTCAACTTGTTTCCTGGTGTTCTTGTAATGCTTTAGAAAATCAGAGGACAAATTAATCTTTGTAATAATTTTTTTTCTAGAAGGTCTAAGCTGAAATTTAGTCCTGAAACTTCAATAAATCATGTCAGTAATATTAATAAGAATATGCACTTTATTAGTTTTGTTATATGTGGCTTCTGAACGTGTTCTTGCATGTCAGTTACAGCTGCATGAGCTTTTGGTGTTGTATTAAGGCCCACTTACTAATGTTTTAGAACTTGCTTGCTCCCAGAACATGGAGACAGAATTGATTATCATTTATGAGAAACATTTGAAGTAGTATTTGCTACCGGTAAAAACAAATAGGAAATGAGGGTGTTCATCACAGCAGAGATGAACATTTAGGTTTACAATACTCTTTTCATAGGCTGACACTATTACAACACTAGTTGTTTAAAAGGACATTTCTAAATCAACAGCTATTTTTAAATTAAAATTAGTTAACACTATAGCTCCCCATCAGCCAAAAAGGTTCTGTTTCCCAAGACCACCTCGGGGGTACATTCAGCCATGATCTGGTGACCACGACTCCCCTAAGGACAGGAGGTTTGTGTAAAGAGTTGCCTCACTGGCAGACACCTTGGCACAGCAAACACAGGGGGCAGCAAGCAAACAGTCATTCCTCAAAACACACACACGCCTCTACCAGTAAGTGCCTTTTTAGTATGAAGATACTGTACAAAGGGGTGTCCTGGAACACCATCAGGTCCATGATGTGTTATTGCAGTTTCTAGCAGGTGTGTTGTGGTATCACTACCACGTTAACTGTGGGAACTCTTTCTCATTAACCACATGAATTGGAGGAGGGAGTATGAAGAGAAAAAGATAGGTTGTTCTGTTTTGAAGATAAGGTCTCTTTGATATCATTTTTAGAAGAAATCTAAGTCATAGTTTTAGTTCTTCATAAGGCTTCATTCAGTCCTTAGAATGTGTCAGCCTGACTGTAATGGTTGTAAGCATGAGAGAAAAATCACATCTCATAACCAAGATGCTAACACAGGTTACCTTCTGCTGCCAAAATGCTTCTCTCTATATATATGTATGTTTGCCCGCATAGAATCCTCTGTATGCCATTCCAAATTTGGACTGGTTTTGCTGATAAAAGTTTCCAAGCAAAACATTTGCAGTGCAGACAAGGCCCCTGCCCTGGGGCATCTGGTCATTTGGCATGTAGCTGCAAATCTGCTGTGGTATGACATACAAATGATGTCCATGGTGAATCCTTGGGGAGACACAACCACTCAACTCTCCTTGGGAAGCCGATGAAAAGTACTGGAGCTGGGAGGGGCAAAGGCTGTGTTTCAAAGGAGAAATCCCATCTGAAGGCAGAATAAGCCTAGGTATTTCCCATGCTGGGACTCTGCAGATGGTTTGGGGGTTCCCCTGTCATCCAGTCTCCGACATCCTCTACGCAGACACAGCCATGCTTCTTCATTGGAAGCCAAAGAGGGCTTAATGCCTGAGGGAGGACACCATAAGTTACTTAAGAACATGTTGATGGTTTCAAAATGAATTTTGGACAAATATAATATATTTAATTAAGATCTGTCTGAACTGATCCAGGATAATTTAAGTTTCTAGCTCAGGACTAGTGAGACCTTGTTTTAGTTCTGCTGTACTAAAACCCTGGGCAAGGGTTCAAAATGACTATGTCCCTTCTTTACATGTAAGATGAGGGTTACTGAACTTTCCTCAGAGGTACATGGAGGGAAAGGTTTATGCATGCATTTAAGGTTAGGAGATGCCTAGATTCAATGATAATATCTTGGCTAGCATCCATAAGGGGAAATAACATGTCAATGATGTCAGCTTTGGCCTTAGACAGATCTTTTTAGTGCCCATAGGGAGAAGTTTGTGTTCTTCCAAATCTAATAGTGTTGGTCATGTCCTCATGCAAGAGATCAAATTCAGTGGAGTTAAAGCTCCTTGAGCCATGGCTGATTTTGGTCCAAACTGTTTAATGATTAAACCAGTCAGGTTGAACCTCTGCAGTTTACTAGAATTCTGACAACAGCAGAAATACAGGAAAAGGGCTTAAACCAATCAATTTTAGCTGTTCTTATTTTTGCTTTCCGTAAAATCTTCCACTCCATCAAGTAAGTCTTTGAAATGGAAGTTCAGACCACAGTTCGCGTCCCTTTGTGTGTTTAGTTATTGATGTGAATGACTTCAAAGGAGTGTGCTGGCTCTCACTTGGCACACTTTATTTAATTCAGTACACTATAATCATTTATAATGCACCAGAAAATTACAGGATAAAAACAGTGAAATATTAAAACTCTGCTAACATGAGCAGTGATATGAAACCTCTTATAAAACATCAGAAAGGATGTTTGAGTGTTCCACTCTGATTTTGAGTAACTTCATGCTGTATTCTCTTAAAAGATTATTTAAAATATTTAAATAATATTTGACAGATATAGTTTTTGTATTAAAAAAGGAAACCGGCAAACTAATATGTAAAATATAATTACTTTAGTTCATTTACAATACTACAAGGCAAAACTAACTGAATAATGTTGGTTTATGCTTACAGTATTCATCTGATCTTTAATAGATCAAATAATTGTTTTCATTCGAAACTATTAATGTAATTAATATAATATACTTTTTTTTACTTGCATGTAAAAAGACCCAAAGATTTGCATACCTTCAGACAGGCACCATCAGAACTATTTAGAAAAATATAGCAATCTATATGATGTGAGTTTACTTCAAATTTAGTATATCTCTGAAACATTCCCATTTTCAACAG